GCAATAAACCTTTCCCATCCATCACTGTCCAAGAAGTTCAAGAATTATGAAAAATCAGCAGAAAGCATGAGCATAACTCTTCTCTTACTGGAAATAACTACAAATAGCATTTCTTGACTACATCTTATATCAAATATAGTAGCTAATGAGCATTTTTCAAACCACTTCTAAAATTATTTTGTTGATTTTGTTTCATCTTATAGCTCTGCTGCTCCCCCTCCTGTTCTGTAGAGGAAATTACATAGCTTAGTGTACAATGTACAGGTAGCAGATGCTACCCCAGAGCATTTACATGGATATTTGGATACGTGCTTTCTATCTGTTTCTGACTAATGTTAAATTTATGGACACCTCACATTACCATGACCTATTTTTATTTATGTGATATACATGCTAAAACATGTCAAGTTAGCAGTTTGCTGTTAAGGAAGTTACACATATTAAGATGATTTGAATAATTTCTTATCCATGTTTTGGCAGCCAAAAAGTATGGGAAACCTAGATTTTAATCAATATGCTGTTTTTCTTCTGGGCAATGAGATCACGAGATTCCTGTTAGCCTGTTCCGTAGCCTTCCAAATTCTACTCTGGGTATTACAGTCAGTCCACGTTATTGTTTCTCTTTTTCAAATATTTAAAGACTTACTGGTAGTGATTCAGGTTAAATTTCAGTGAGTCCTGAGTTAATGATGAAAACACTGTATCATTTTATTATCTTTACCATAATCTTCAATTTAAATATAATGCTGTAATAGTTCTGAAGTACCATTTGAATATTAATATTTCTTGGATATTCAAGTAAGAATATGGAATATTGGTGTTTTTGGAAAGGATTTTAATAATGCATTATATGAAAAATGAAAACATAACTTTGGGGAGTAGTTTAAAGAAGCAGTAAAAGAGAGTAGAGTAGTTATTTTAAAAAACTAGTTCATTGTACAATTCAGATGGGAAAGTGGTGTTAAAGTTACTCAGTTTTCAAGACAGACACCTAGCAGAACCAGTCAACTGACTTTTGGAAAAGTAATTGCATTCTGAACTGAAAGCACAAGTAGTCCTGATGTCAGAATTTAAGATTTGTTCTTAATCTCATATTCTTGTTTTGTGATGACACAAAGGTATGCAGGAAGAATTGCTGAAACTGAATCTTTCTTGTATTTTCAGGCCTGCTGCTCTTTCCAGTTTAGTTTCCCCAGTGTGTGTGGTGAAGATAGTTGTTTGCCTCACAAAAGGTTGCAGGGATTGGTTTGTCTCAGTCAGGAATTACGGAAGGTGGAGATCAGAATGTGGTCTGCCTAATGCAGATATTACTCCATTGTCCTTGACACAGTGCACTCTTCCTAATGCAGCCACCTAAGGTTTCACATAAAACAGAGAAGCAAATTCCTCTAAAGCCTGGTAGAGAAGACTCAGTAGGTGTCTTCCCCTATCTGTTGAGAATTTAGGCCATGTAGGTACCTTCAGAGTATAATCTACACCTGGAGCTCTCGTTCCAGTCCTTCAGGCTGTTCTTATCTGATGGGAAATGAAAATGTGCTCCAAGGAGCAAGAGAAGGGACCCCAGTTCCTCCATCTGCCTGTTGAATGATGAAGCCACTTGATTGGAATGCAGAATTTTTTGCCTTTTTCTGCTTTTGTCCCACTGGTTCTTGCTGGTCTGTCTGCTCAATCCTTCATTTGGAGCAGGGAGTGTGTTCTCACCCTGCATATCCCACGATGGGACAGCTAGAGGGTGTTGTAGGAACACAAAAGGAAAATGGTTGTTCATAGGGCTCTTGGGCCTACGGCTCAGGTCCTGCTGCTTGCTGTGGAAGTGCTCTTAGCAGTGGTGGTATGAAACATGGAATAAATAGTTATAGCCAGATGTACTAAGGGTAAGTATTAGCTTTTGGGCTTCTCTTTGGAGAACTGGAGATAATTTGCCATGGAGAATTCAGGCAGTTTCAATCTCGGTAGAACCAAATGTACAATAGATACCTTAGCCACTTACGTGCATTCATGGACGGCTGAGAAGTGCATTCAGGCAGCTCTCAGATGAAGCATGTAGGAGCCTTAGGAATTCACAGGAGTAGGCGGTCTTAACTACTGCGTGATCCAAATCACTGCCTAGGACTTCAGGTTAATATTAAGGACTTAAATCTCAGTTTATTGTATGATTATTCAAGCTGAATATAATTTCAAAAACATTTCTGGGAACACCAATAGATTGCTTTTGGTAATTTTACATGTAGAACAACTATTGATCTAGCATCTCCTATGCTATGCTAGGGTGATAGAAGATGTCGTGGTGCTGAACTTTGTGGTTGACAATCTTCTACCGTGAGTTGCTTAGAGGAATATTTTCCCAAATGTTATGGAGTCACTATTCTTGTTCCATCTTCAACCTGAAGACCTGTTAGCCTCTCTCTATTCCTACTGTTCTTGATGTATAATGTTGACCAACGTTTTTAACTTGCAGTCAAACGCTCATGATAGCATGTGTGAGCCCTTCAGATCGAGACTTCATGGAAACCTTGAACACCTTAAAGTATGCCAACCGGGCACGGAACATCAAGAACAAGGTGATGGTTAATCAGGACAGAGCTAGTCAACAAATCAATGCTTTGCGCAGTGAGATCGCGCGGCTACAGATGGAGCTCATGGAATACAAAACAGTAAGTTTATCCTCTTAGGGCTTTTGCTTTAAAATGCTTAGAGTTTGACAGCTTGTTTTTCTGTTGACTGCTTCCACTTCATACACTAAAAATATTTGAATAGCAACCCAAACTTAAACCACACTTTTTTAATTCCAGTGATTACTAAATGTTTTTAGAAAACTTAGATTGCTTCCTCAGAGAAAGGCTTCATGAATGAATACAAATGATGGCAACAGATGCTGCATGCTATCTGCTTTTTGAAAAGCAAAAATTTACCTTGTCATGCTCAGCAATGAGAAATAGTCACTTCCAAAGCAAAAATGACCACAATTTAGATTGACTCATAAATGATTCTGAACAGTTATTGTGTATTGTTTTTAAAATCTTACCAGACAGATAAAACAATTTGTATTTTAAAAATACATTTTAAATTCTATAAGCCAAATACTCACAATGCCTATTTCTTCCTGAATTTTTAAACAAATAATGTTTTCAGCAATAAATGTGGTTACCAAACAGTGTCGTCCTTTGCTATCCTTGAGATATTATCTGGGTTTGATAGTTATCTTCTCATTTCTTAACCTTTTCAAGAACTTGTATTTCAAAGTAAGATGGAATTACACAGGACACAAATGCTAAGGTGTTGGCCAGACATCAGTGTTTAGAAAACTTATCTATTTGTCCATTGCTTAAAACTTTTTGAGAGAAAATTATCTTTTGCTATGAGTGTCTGGAATTTCAAGTAATCTGTGGATTGCCTTTGCCATGTTAAAAATTTTTCATGTGTAGGTCTGTCTTTACTAGTAATGAAATACATTTACTTTCTTAAGGGTAAAAGGATTATAGATGAAGAAGGCGTTGAAAGCATCAATGACATGTTTCATGAAAATGCGATGCTGCAAACAGAAAACAACAACTTGCGTGTTAGGATTAAAGCAATGCAAGAAACTATGGATGGGCTGAGAGCCAGAATAACACAACTTATGAGTGATCAGGCCAACCAAGTGCTAGCCAGAGCAGGTATGCTGTGGGTGTGTTGTGCGTGTGTAAACTGCTTAATAAGTTCATGAGCTTAAATCAGCTTAAATGTTTGTGCCTCATGGTCCCGTGGAATGATGTGATGCCTTTGTAACAGTAATGTAGAACCTGCCTTGGCAGGGATAGGACCTCATCTAATTCAGTTCATCTAATTAAACCATTGACAGTTGGACTTGATGATCTTAGAGGTCTCTTCCAATTTTAATGATTCTGTGATTCTTTCTTCTGTCTCTGGAGACTTCTGTTGATACAAATTTGACCATTTGGTGGTAACCCAATTTGACCATTCGTTTAGGACTGTAAGCAACATGAAATGTGAAATAATACCTTTGGATAGGAATTACTTATGCTTACCTATACATGAACTTAAATATTTTGGTTTGGGTGAGGACCTGGATACAGATGGGTGCATGTTGGCTTACTTTTCACCTCGTAGAGTGATCACCTAATTGACTTACCATAACTGCATTGTTCTTTATGCGCACTGTTTGTCAGGTTATGTTTGATTTATGATACATGCATTGTTAAAAGTTGCTAATATGGAAAACAAATTAAATAGAAATGTTACTTGTAATAATCCTGGTCATATGACACAGAGGAACAAAGTATTTAATGCAGCTTAAGGAGGAAATATGTTTTACAAATCAGATAAGATCTAAGCATGTAGCCCATGACTGTTTCTCTTTGCTGATGCCTTGTGCCTGCTCACTGTGTTTAGATATTTATACTGTTATCTTTCTTTACCTGCCGCCCTTCTTTCTCTCTGTGCTTCAAAGGAGAAGGAAATGAAGAAATTAGCAACATGATTCATAATTACATAAAGGAAATTGAAGATCTCAGGTATTTGCATAATATGTATTTGAATAGTTTTTATTTAAAAAAAGCCCCAGACAACCTAACCAAACCATCTAGAAATGTTATCAAGTAAATACTTCAGCTGGTTTCCTGTGTGGTGCTTACTTTAGGCTAACGGTCCTTCAGCTTCTAAGACCACCTGGTGGTGTTCTTGGCCACAGAAAATTAAAATATTAAAGATAAAGCTGACAATAGAAATGAAAGTAAGGTGTTGTCTAAATAATGATGATGACTTGGAGAGCAAAGCTTGGAACAGTTCTATGATAAATTCATAACTTCATATATAAATGATAGTACTGAGAAATTACTTGTTACAGTTTAGTGGTTAAAAAAAAAGCATCTGCTTTCCTTTAAAATGAAAAAAAGAAGGAACCCCAAGTATTAAATATTGTTGATATTTTTATTTCTCTGTCTTTGGAAGTGTATCATGCAAAAAAAAAATTATCTGGCCTATTCCCAGTTAGTGTTAGAGCTACACAATACTGTGGCTTTTGTGTAATGTCTATATACGTACAGCATATGTAGATATATATCTATACATATATCTGTGTATATTTATACAGACATTTGTATTTATTTGTATTCTGTCTAGGGTATATGTACAATATATGTAGCTGTTGTGTAAGTGGTATTATCAAGGGATTTACTACACTTTTATATTGTGAGACTTCACCTTGTTTCATAGTTTCTTTTTAAACAGAAGGAAATGCATTACAGTTACAGATGCTAGATCTCACGCATTAGCAATACTTGTGATTTGTGGTCTGCAATTAATTTTTAATTTTTTTTTAAGAGCAAAATTATTAGAAAGTGAAGCAGTGAATGAAAATCTTCGAAAATCTTTGTCAAGAGCTTCAACAAGACCCATGTACTTTGGTGGACCATCAGCATTTTCTGCTTCTATGCTTTCTTCAGAGAAGGAGACAATGGAAATTCTAGATATGGCCAAGAAAGATCTAGAAAAGCTGAAAAAAAAAGAAAGGAAAAAGAAAAAGAGGTGGTGTATGAATTATAATGCTATTTGTGTTTTCTTTATTAGTAAAGTGGTGTATTTTTTTAACCACTGAGACTTTAAAATTAATTTGTTGCTGCTGTGTGGGTCTGGATCCTAAACTGCGATTCTTTCAAACCCTTTTACACGTTGAAGTTAGGTGTTTTTCTTTTGCATCTTTTCTTCCAGTGAAGTGTGCAGTATTTGTAGAATGGATGTTTCTCTTATAATGAATTTTTCTGTATAATTATGCACAATGGTAAAAGCACAGGTGCTCTATGAAAACTTTGATTTTTTTTTTTTAAAAACAATTTTAAAAATACATCTTAAATTCAGCAGAAATTTAAAAAAAACCCCAAAATTATAAACTTTCTTCTACTGTATGTCTAAGCTGAAACAGCTTTCTGAAGAAAAGATATTCTGAATAGCTGGGATTTCTTTGGTAGCTCTTGGTATGGCTTATTTTGCTTTGCTTTTGCTTTTATGAATATTTTTAATTTGAAGTTTCCTAAGTCTCTGCAATGTCATGCTTTACTGTTTTGTTTGCTGTCTCATCTACTAAAATGCTCATAGACATGGATATAAATGCCTGTTCAGACAGCAGTTGGGGCAGCAAGGATCTGCTTGTGTACTCTGAGACTTTGATTCCATTAGAGATCTTTCCCTTTTCCTTGAAATTTTCCATGCTTCTAATCTATTACTCTGTCTCCTAATGGCTTTTCAGACCTCTACAGGTTCAGAGTAAAGTTAGAACAGTACAAGCCTGAAATATAATTGAAGTATAAAGTAGATTTGAGTTAGTGATATCTGCAATTTGAGGTCTTCTATCTGTAAATCCATTCAGCACAATGTCTGGTACTTGTAGAAAACACCTTAATAATGACCGGATTCTTCCTTTGCATATCATTTTCCAGAAAACTCTTACACTTTTATGGGGTTTTTGATAGATTGTTGTCTCATGTTTGTAGGCGCTTGAGGGGAGGATGGAAGTATTAAAATCAGCAGGATGTTCTGGCCTCTCTTCAGTCAAACACTTCAGTATATTCTTCAGCTGTAAATGCAAAAACAAAAGAGATTTTATTTTCTGTGTTTCAACACCTTTTAAAATCAAGTGTGTGTTTAAATACATGCTTAGGTAGAGCCATGATTGTTAGGTTGATGCCTGAGTATTAGGTAGCAGACAGGATTGTCTTTATCTGAAAACAGATAAAGGTTACTAGTTATATTGACTGATAGCTCTTACTGTAGGAGGTGATAGCTTAAAAAAAAATAAAATTTGGAAGTTTTAGTGTTCATACAGTGATAAGTAAAACACATGGTTAGTTGGTTTTGGATTTTTTGCAGGGTTTAGTTGGTTTTGGTTTTGTGGCGTTTTTTGTTTTGTGGTTTTTTTGTTTGTTTTATTTTGTTTTGACTGAAAGAAGCTTCTATGACCAGTCACCCCAGGACGATAATCTTGTGAATGGCACAGCCAAGTGGTTTGATCCAGAAGTAGGAACTAACCATAAACTATGTTTGAGATCAATTTTCTGTCCTAGCATTATAGAATTGGAGAACTATAGAAAAAATTACGTTGGAAGAGACCTCTTGGTGATCGAGCCTCAATCTTAGAGTGGGTCTTGTGTTCCAGAGAGAGGGATCACACTCTTCAATATCCTAGTAAAGTGTGAGCCTACCTACTGGCTTAACTGTGGACTGTTTTGTAATAAACTTTTATGGATTTCTGAGGTGTATATGTTAGGAGACAAATTCCTTAGAAGCTCAGGAGTAGGACTTAAGGGAATATGTATATAACCTGTCTGTCTAATTCTGTCTAATTAACGAAATGCAAAGCCTATGTTGATATGTCACCAAATCTTTATTCTATTGAAGTTTCAGGAATTGGCAAGGGGTATGCTGATGTATTGCAAAGGGACAATTTACCCTGCAGTCTGGTAGGGATTCTTTGCTCTACTTCTGTCTTCTACAGGCATTTAGCTGCTTTTACTATATCTTTTTAGGGCTGCTATTCTTTTGAAGTTGTCTTACTAGTGTTTTCCTATTAAATGGGAACAGTAAGCCTGGCTACTAGTTCTGCCCCATCTGCCACCTTTCTTGCTCTGTTCATTTCCTGGTTGTGGGTCAGTGTGATGAAAATACACACAACTTATCTAAATAGCTGTGAGCTAGCCTGAAGATCTAAGAGCCAGTTTTTGAATGAGCAGCAGGTACGTACTGCTGTGTATCTGTAGCTTTAATAAGCACCTGTCAAAGTTTAGTGGAAACAATTTACACAGCACTAATGTTCTGGCTAGTGAACTACTGATGTGCTTGATCAGTGTCCCACAGTGTTACCTACTTACCAGTAGCCCTAGAACAAGCTTCCCATCTCCCTTTCAATTCTTAGTCAGCTGTATATACCTGATAACCTTTTTTGACTGTTGTCTTTTGACTTCCCTAACCTTTATTAAACTACATTAGCGATAAAATTACATGGGGTCCACCATGTTAGTTCCTAGCTGACATTGAAGCAAGATAGCAGGCAGTCTAAGGTGAAAAGGCATCAAAAGCACTTAATCAGAACTTGCTCATGATGGGAACATGAGGAGTTTCAGCAGTTGTTGACATTTAAGCCATCTCTACACTTAAATATGTCATGCAGACATTTTTGTACTCATACATCCACATTTGTTCAAGAGGAAAAAGTGCAAGTAAAAATACTAACACTTTGTCCATCTCATTGCTTCTGATGCATGGGTATTTTTAATTTATTGAAAAAATAAAAAGCAATCATTGGCATTTACTTTCTGAATCCCAGAAAAATAAACTGCAGTTTTCTGCTTTTTATTTAAAAACAAACAACAAAACCCCAAACCAAAAAATAACTGCAGTTTGAAATTTTTATATGAATTATATTCAGAATATATGATTTAGTATACTAGTGCAAAAAACTTTTCATTAGTGTTTTATATTACGATATGTTATCAGCATATATAAAACTAGTGCATTGGTTTTTTCCTGATATATTCCTGAGGATATGCAACTTTGGTTCAATGGCACTACTTCTTGCAATTTTCAGTATTTTTACCTGCCAATTTTAAGTGGCAGAAGAGGAGAAAGCTTTTTCTGGAACTAAGAGATTTTTTTGAGTCTATATTAAAAGTAATTATCAAAGTGAAATATATATGAAAATTATATATGTCTATATCTAAAACTCCTTCCTTGGTGTAACTTGAATGTACAGTTGTTCACAGCGACAGATTAGTTAACCTACAAATGCTTCTTCTTTGTTTTCTATTTACTTTCCAACTGTGCAAAATGTGTTGCCTTTTTACTACATGTTGTCTCTTGATGGTATCTTTTAAAATTTCATTTTAAACTCCACAAGCTCATATATCATTTTTTTTACCTTCTTATTACTTTTGCTTTTCACTGTCTGGTTTGTCCTTCATTGGCTTGGCCTTCCAATACTGTACCTCGTGCTTTTGAAGGCTACAGAAACTTGAGGAAAGCAGTCAAGAAGAAAGAAGGTTGGAATATTTCCCAGGTTTTTAATTACCTGTAATTTCAATTAACTGGTTGTTATACATGAAAAGAAGTTGGGCAGATTCATAGGTACTTCAAGAGTAGTTCATTTGGCTTCTCAAAATTATTTCATGTGTTTTGACTTTCAATGAGTATTTTAACTGGAAGAAACCTCTGTGGTGAAACTGAGGTTGACTCTGGGGTTGCAGTGTTGAGCAAGCATTTTTGGGGAGGTGGTGGCTTTGGGAATAGCTATAGAATTAAGCAGATTTCTTTCTTGCATGGCCTGTATGGAATGAAAGGCCAGGAGGAAGGCACAGTAGCTCATATGATATGAAATGTATACAACAATGGCAGTATACAACAATAATAATTTTGGCATGTGCGATCAAGGTGGTCTTGGACCTTCACATCTCAGTTAACTCTGCTGCTTTTATTTTTTGAAAGCGTGTGACTGAAGCTTTGACCGCTCCTTCCATTCCGTTTTTGCCAAAGCAGTAGATAAATTAGTTGGTCATAGAGAGTCAGTTAAATTTTTCATCTGTCTACTTTGATCCAAAAAAACCCACTGAATTCATGCAGATGATGTGAATCCACAGGTCAGTGACACACAGATTAAGCAGCACAGTTCTGCCTAGGAGAGCTGCTGGCTCTCCATCCTCCTGTCTCTCCCCTCCATTAGGCAGAACACAAATTCTCTGTAGTAGTGAGCTCTGTGCTGTGTGCAGGTGGGAGGGAAACTGGGGATTTGCCTCAATCTGCATGAAGATGGCAGCTAAGATCTGTTATCGTTTCGGCTTATTAGCCGACATAAGAAACCATGGTGTGGGCTGAGTGAGAAGAGAATCTGTGGAAATGAGATTGTGTAGCTCAGTGTTCCCTGTTTGGCATTGTTTTCTGTACAAATCTGGTTAGGCTTTTTACTTCCAGCCTCCCCAGCTGCTGCGTGGATTCAGACAGTCCAATTGCATCCAAATTCAGTATTTCTTGACTCTTTCTTTTTGTTGTATCAATGCCTATTTTGAGCATTCCCTTGATGTCAAAGTAGGTAACTGATCAAAAGAGTAGTTATAGTATGATGAATTAGGATATTGTTTAAGGCTTATACATAAATTTTCAGGTGATTGTAAACACAGTAGACTCTGTTATAATTTGAGTATAGTAATACCTGTAGTGTATGTGGTACCTGCATACAATATTATTTCTTTGTTTTGTAAAAGCTATTCTGGGTACACTGCAATTTCCATGCAAAATGAGTACTGGTGTAGTGTATGAAGATGTGTATTCTGATTGTCCTAGCTATGCAGTGTGCCCTAAAACAATGTGCTAATCATTAATATTATTTTGCAAGCTAAGATTAAGAGTAATTAAGCATTATTTTATTATCTGTGGGAGATGGGAAGTTGCGTTTTACCCATGCCCAACACCTGTACTTTTGTCTAACTACACTTTGATTTTCATCTTTATTTGTAATCACAACTTACTGGTTTGGGGGATGGGAAGCACATGCCATTTCAGTTTATGAATATTCTCTCTCTGTGCCTCTTCCGCTAGTGTTAAAGAAGATAACACAGATAATGAACAGGAGAAGAGAGATGAAAAAGGCACTTCGGAGAGAGAGAATAATGAATTGGAAGCAGTAAGTATTTAGAAGTGTTTGATTTACTTGTTCATTGTCTGCTTAAAGATTTACAAGGTTATAGAAAGGAAATTGTCAGGTGAATACTGTGGCTGCACAGTGATAGTCACAAGAAGGGGTAGAAAAGTGTGGGCATGCTTCAACATCTTTCTATTTTGTACATTTTGTAGGAGGAAATTCAGGAAGCAAGTGATCATGAGGATGAAGAAGAGGAGGATGATGAGGATGAAGATGACATGGAAGTTGTCGAAAGCTCAGATGAATCAGATACTGACTCTGATGAAAAAGGTGATGTCAGTGCAGTATTTTGTAGAATTTTACCAATACTGCCTGTGTCATTCCTTGGGTTTTGGTAGGCGAGATAGCATGCTGTCAACCACTCCTCCATGGATTGTATGTCCGATGAATTCTTTTTTAGTTATGGTGCTAAAACATGTAATATCCATCTGATCAAGTGTCCTTTGACACCCTTTAAAATGGACTAGAAGACATCAGGTGTTTAATAATGCATTTCTTCCTTGGTTAGAATATCAAACGTATAAGGTTTAAATACTAGGTTATTTTTATGTCTTGGGACTAATTACCAAGCTGACAGCTCCCATTCAGCTAATTTGGAAAATAGGTAGAATTTAATTTTGAAAGGCTGAAAGTCCATCAGCCTTCCTCATTTGCAGACTCTTTGTGGCTTTATGTAGAAGTATTAACAGCTGGCTTATGTATAGTATGCAAATTAGGACTGCTAAAGTCAGAGACAGCATCAACCTCAATTCTTTTATATGAGTTGGGCCAAATGGGGAAACCGAATCTGTTTGTTCCTTCTTGTTCAAGAGTCACACAAACTATTAGAAGTTGCAGAACCTGAAAAAAAATACCCTCTACTTTTTTCTACCCTCATCTTTTTTCTAAGCATGTAATGTTAAGCCAAAAAAGGATGTAATTGCCTAAAGAAATTAATTAAACTTTTCTAAACCTAGCATGCAGGTTAGTCCTTTTTCCTTTTTTTTTCTCCTACTTTTCTCATTCCCTTCAGCATTCCACTTCCATGATTGAGGTGGCTCCTCTCTTCTCAGAATTTTAGCTGTATTTTTCTAAGAGCTAGAAAAGGGACAGTCTTCCCTTGAAGTCTGCCAGCAGTCAAATTTTCCTTTAATCATCTGCTGTGTTTATGAATGACAGTCATTCTCCAGTCCTGAGATGTGACTGAAGTCTCACAGCCTGTAAACTTTTTTTATGGGGAAGGACAGATTGCTTATTGTGAGGAATTGGAACATACGGGCAGCTGTGATCTAATGAGAGATCTTTCCC